AAGGGAGCCAGGGCTGCCAGGATGGACTCCAGGCTGCTCTGCGGGTGCAGGTTCCGCAGGATGATGGCTGGGGGGACACAGAGGGGCACACCTGGGCACACCTGGGTACACCTGAGCACACCTGGGGGCACACCTGGGCACATCTCGTATACCTAGGGGCACATCTGGCACAACTGGGGGCATGTGACACACCTAAGGATACACCTGGTACACTTGGAGGCACACCTGGCACACCTGGGCACACCTGGGGACACACCTGAGCACACCTGGGTATACCTGGTATACCTGGGGACACACCTATGGGCACACCTGGCACACCTGGGGGCACCTGGCACACCTAAGGATACACCTGGTACACTTGGGAGGCACACCTGGCACACCTGGGCACACCTGGGGACACACCTGGGTACACCTGAGCACACCTGGGGACACACCTGGGGACACCTGGGGACACACCTGGGTACACCTGGGCACACCTGGCACAGCTGGGAGCACACCTGAGCACACCTGGGCGTGCCTGGGGGCACACCTGGCACAAAAAACCCCCAAAATCCCCCCAAAAATCCACAAAGAAACCCCCAAATTCCCCCCAAAATTAATTTAAAAAATCCTAAAAAAATCCCCAAAATCCCCCCCAAAAACCCCAAAATCCCTTAAAAAAAACCCCAAAAAATTAAATATCCCTAAAAATCCCCCTAAAATCCCCTAAAAAAACCCCAAAAATTCATTTTAAAAAATCCTAAAAAAATCTTTAAAAAAACCCCAAAATCCCCTAAAAAAAACCCAAAAATTCATTTAAAAAAATCCTAAAAAAACCCTAAAAAATCCTAAAAAAATCCCCAAAATCCCCCCCCAAAACCCCAAAATCCCTTAAAAAAAAAACCAAAAAATTAAATTAAAAATCCCTAAAAAATCCCCCTAAAATCCCCTAAAAAAACCCCCAAAAATTAATTTAAAAAAATCCTAAAAAAATCTTTAAAAAAACCCCAAAATCCCCCCCCAAAAACCCCAAAATCCCTTAAAAAACCCCCCAAAAAATTAAATTAAAAATCCCTAAAAAAAATCCCTAAAAAACCCCAAAAAATTAATTTAAAAAAATCCTAAAAAAATCCTAAAAAATCCTAAAAAAATCCCCAAAATCCCCCCCAAAATCCCCTAAAAAAACCCCAAAAAATTAAATTAAAAATTCCCCAAAATCCCCAGCCCCTCCCCCCCAGCCCCTCCCCCACTCACTGTCGTTGGCGTTGTCGGCTCCGGGCTCGGGACCCCCCTGGGACCCCCCGGGGGGACCCCCCAGGGTGGGGCCGAAGGGTTGGGGGAGGGGCAGGAGCCCCCCTCCCCCCCCGCCCCCAGGGCCACCCCCCCTCTGCTCGGCCTCTGGAAAAAAAATTAAAAATTGAAAATAAAAAATTAAAATTCAAATTAAAGTTAAAATTAAAATTAAAGTTAAAATTAAAATTAAAGTTAAAATTGAAAATAAAATTAAAATTAAAATTAAAATTAAAGTTAAAATTCAAATTCAAATTAAAGTTAAAATTCAAATTAAAATTAAAGTTAAAATTAAAGTTAAAATTCAAATTCAAATTAAAGTTAAAATGAAAATTAAAAATAAAATTAAAATTAAAATTAAAATTAAAATTAAAATTAAAGTTAAAATTAAAGTTAAAATTAAAGTTAAAATTAAAATTAAAATTAAAGTTAAAATTCAAATTAAAGTTAAAATTAAAATTAAAGTTAAAATTAAAATTAAAGTTAAAATTGAAAATAAAATTAAAATTAAAATTAAAATTAAAATTAAAATTAAAGTTAAAATTAAAATTAAAGTTAAAGTTAAAGTTAAAATTAAAATTAAAGTTAAAGTTAAAATTAAAATTAAAATTAAATTTAAAATTAAAAATAAAGTTAAAATTAAAATTAAAAATAAAATTAAAATTAAAGTTAAAATTAAAGTTAAAATTAAAATTAAAGTTAAAAT